TTCAACTTCAGGTTATATTGGGCTCTGGCTATATCATTCAGATCGTCCACCCTTCCCCTATCTATCAGGCCAACCTTATACAGCATTGACCAAACTGTTCCTTGTCCAAATTAAAGACTTTGATTCACTGAACTGTGATTCTCCCACATGAAAGCCCTTGAGAAAACCATACATGAAAGAAGGTCCTCCTTGCATTCCAGACAAGAGGACTTGTAACTTGTGATGCCATAGTTAGGGCTGGAACTCCTGGCCTCCAAGCAAAGCAATAAGCAAACCACAAGCAAAACTGAAAGTAACTCAGAGAGAGACACCCCGAATCATGGATCTGGTTCTAATACATTTAGGCTCAAGTTTACTGTTTGGACAATATACACGACGTGACAGTGGATGGGAGACAGGTTACTGGGATATGTGTGGAGATGTGCTGCAGCGCAGAGGACACCCCAGAACAGCAGCTCTCACCTGTCCCTCAAAAAAAGTCACGGCTGACCTCACCTGCTCATTTTCCAGCCCATATTCATCCAGTCACAACATCCTGCTGGTAATCTCTCTCCCTCTCAACTCCATAGTGAAGGCTCTGCTGCCTACTGCCAAGGGGCAGGTCTTCAACCTGAACTCAAGAACTAACCACAAATCCGAGTAAGGGAATACTTCACCACCATCCCCTCAGCTCCAGTGCGAACACCTTGTTCTCAGTCTGTGCTCCTCAGCACACAGAAGTCGGCCACGAGGTTGAACAACGCCATACCGTCTCTTTCTGTGGGCCCACGCTGGCAACTCCAGGCCTTTCCTCTGACAGCCAAAGGCATGGATCACAGCCAGTCTTGCATCATTGTCCTTCATCTGTTTCACTGTGAAGTGTGGAAATTCTACTTCTCTGAGCAAATTGTAACTCTCTGTCAGAGCTGAGAGAGTAGCTCAGTGGTATAGTGCTTGCCTGGTAAGTTCACAATCCTGAATTCTACCATCACCAGCACTCAATAAAAAAGAGAGACAATGCAGGGCGTGGTGGCGCATGCCTTTAATCCCAGCACTTGGAAGGCAGAGGCAGGCGGATCTCTGTGAGTTCAAGGCCAGCCTGGTCTACATAGTGAGGTCCAAGACAGCTGGGGCTACAGGGAGACCCTGCCTCAAAAAGACCAAAAAAAAAAAGGAGAAAAAATGCCTAAGAGCCTTCTATATTTGTGTCAAGCCCAAAATGTAAAGAATTCTGAATAGTCTCATTCCATAAAACAAGTTATAAAGGGGATCTTCTTCCTTTTTTCTTTTTCTTTTGAGACAGGGTCTCCCTGTAGCCCCAGCTGGCCTGGAACTCACTATGTAGACCAGGCTGGCCTTGACCTCACAGAGATCCACCTGCCTCTGCCTCCTGGGTGCTGGGATTAAACGCGTGTGCCACCACGCCCTGGTAAAGGGGGTCTTCTTGATGGGCAGATTCAAACCTCAATTTTCCCTGATGCACTCTCTACACAAGGTAAAAGCTTGTGGGCAGAGACGGTTAGGAATTGTCCAATACTTTGTAAAACAGCGTTACTTCTATAAAATAAGCTATCTCAAATATCTACCATATGGGGTTTATTAAAGGCAAATGGCACTTAAAATATATCAATGACTCTTTAATTAAAAGCAGCCTTCACAAGTGGGGAATAGTCTTCTCCACTGAAGCATCCTTGTTAGTGACAGTGGACACTAAGGCACTGAGCTGACTCAGGATTAAAGCAAAACCTTTCAAGGCAGATATGTCCAGTCCCAAGGCTGAAGAAGACCAACCCCAGGCTCTTCAAGCCTCATTTTCACGGTGCTGGTGGTTGACAGCCACTATTCCCCAGGTTGCTGCAGTATTAGTTGCCAGCAGGCTACCTTTTGGGGGTACCAGACTATAAAAGTACAAAATGTCTACCTGGCTTTGTCTGAAAGATGACGGAAGTGTTTGGAAATCTATTATGTTAAATAACTGGGTTATTTGGTGGGCATGCTCATGAAAACTAACCACAAATCAGGATAACAAATCAATAGATGGTGCTGCTGATTCAACTGGCTGGTTCCAATAAAATGGCAATTTGACCCCTTTCTTGGATAAACAGACCAGAAACTGCTGGTGATTTAATCGAGCAGTGATGCTGTCTGTTGACGTTCACATCTCCTTCATAACCCTTTGTCTGCCTAGCTTCACATCTTGTATTTTGCAAAGTTTCTAGGAAAAAGAAAAGGTTTTGTTTCTACCACACTCCACCTAAGTACCTATGTAGTGGGAGTCACAGAAGTTGGGCTTTTATTTTTTTCTGTGCTAGGAATAGAATGGGACACGCTGTTATTATGGAATGTTGGTTCTGAGTGCTGCAGCTTTAACAAGTATTTTCCTAGTCATGATGGACTTCCAAAATAATATGGGCTCAGGGCCACACAAAGACAGCTAGGCTAGTACCCTATGCCCAACTCCACCAAAGATAGTAAGAAATCTATATTTCACCCATAGTTAGAAAAAAAGATATAAAAACGATTTCACATAGACTGAAAATTCAGCTAATCGGGCTCTGGGGATTCCACACCCAGTAAGGAAGCAACTTTGTCAGTTTCTTTCTTTGGAATAATTCTAACTTTGTATCCTGGATGTTTCTGAAGATGTGTTGATATGTAATTTTGATGGCACACAACACAAAATGACCCATGTCCTTTAGGCCTCCTTTGGGGCTGGGAAGGTGGCTTGGTTGGTGAAGCCCTGTCCCGTAAGTGTAAACCAGAATGTGGACAGCCCACGTAAATGCCGTAAGTGCCGCGCAGACGTGGCGGCCTGTTGGATTCCACTGCACTGGGATGGAGGCAAGGGATCTCGGGAGCAGCGGGTTAGCTCATCTTGAGCTCCGGGTTCAGGGAGAGAACTTACCTCAATAGGTATGGTGAAAAGCAATCAAAAAGGACACTCCTAGCCTCCAGGACATATGTGCATGAGCACCTCCCCCACACAAATGCACACCACATGTGCAAAAACAATCAAAAGTACCTGCTTTGAAACTGAATCTCTCTTTGATATAATCTCATGTTGTAATGTTTTTATGACACATGAACTTACAAAGTGTTTGATAAAATGCTACAAATCAGTCTCATCAAAATGAAAACAGTAATTGAAAAGAAAACTAGCTTTAAACACAGTCTTTCCTCATGTGGTCTGCTTATCTTTTCAGCATTGTGGACTGTGGCCTCAACCATCCCAGTCAGGCGCTCTACCACTGCGCTACACCCACAGCCCTCTAAGTCTTTCTCCAGAGTGGGCTTGGCCAAGGTTAAAATTCTCAAGACTGAATCTTACTCTTCCTGAGGCCCTGTACTCACAGAATTCAAAGCACGCGTACAAATACAAAGCACTGCCCAGTTTCTCTTCTGAAAAGAGCAATCTTTGGGTTGGGTGTGGTGGTGCATGGCCTTTAATTCCAGCACTCGGGAGGAAGGATCTCTGTGAGGCCAGCCTGGTCTACATAGGCAGTGCTAGGCCAGCTGGGACTACAGGGAGACCCTGTCTCAAAAGAGCGACCTTCAGATAAGCAATCCCAAAGTTTAAGTCCATTTAGCTGTAAGGGCAAGCATTCCGCTCCTGTTTTTCCTGCATTTCTCTGCAGGCTAGACTGTGCCCACAGGTGGCAGAGAAATGCTCAGACACTTTTGTGTTGAGAAACGCTCAGATGCTCTTTGCCTTTAAAGTTGTGTTGGGTTCAGTGAAGTGTTTATTTTGGGAGTTTCTTTCCTCTCTCGCTTGGCCACCTACACCCCATTCCTCAACTGCAGCAGTAAATGTCTAAAATTGGTGCTGGTTCTGATCAACACGGTGATGACATCAGCCTGTTTCAGGCTCTTGGTGGTAGAACGATATGACCATTCTGTGTGTTGGGTCACAACTGCCCCGTTGCTATGCTAGGTCATGCGGAGCCTAGCTTGTGTTAGCTGTCCCAAACCAGTCAGACACTGATTCTCTTTCCTGCTTTGTCAAAGGAAGGGGAGGGAAGGAGCAAGCAGGAACGGCAGGTCTCTAATTGCTGGTGGCACAGCAATGCTGATGTCACTGAACTGCACACTTAAACGGCTGAAATGCTAAGGTTTGCAAAGCATTGCGGGTACTATATCAACATCCAGGTCTACCACGTGCAGCTGTAACACAGGGCGTCAGCTGGCTGCCTTCCTGCAGGGTCTATTAAGTCAGGCTGCCTGCATCCTAAGTAAGCATCCACACTCCACGAATTAGCAAACGCACTTAGCCACAGAAGTTTTCAGCCTAGGAGTGCCAGAGAAGAGAACCTCAAAGCACCATTTGAGAGTGGGGGATAGGGAGCGTGAGGAAGCACCGCTTCCTTCGGGTAGTTCTGCGATGGATGGTGTGGGGAGCTGGGGGCCTAGACACCCTCACCTCCTGTCCCAGGATTCCCCCAGATCTGCCCTTTCCCTTAGGGAGGGCTACAAGAACCAGCAAAGGCAAGAGAGTCCCTGCGCTGCAGGTCCCCGACAAGGGCGCACAGCGTTTGCAGGATCAAACCCTTTCCTAGGGGCGGAGGCGGACGGGGTAACATGCCGGGAAGGATGGTTAGTAGCAGCCAGCGCACAACCCGGATGAGCCTGGAAGTTTAGCTGTGCAGACAAGAGCGGAGTGGCAGAAGCTTCGAGAGCTCGGAGCCTGCCTGGGGTCTCAGATGCGGTACTTTTGCAAGTAGAAAAATCACCTTAACCTGGGAGACTTAGAAATAGAGGAAACGCACGACGCCCGGCTGGAGTGGACATCCCAGTCCTGTTCAAGTCTGCAGGGCACTGACCTGTGTCCGGGTCTGCCCCATCTCCCACTAAGCAGGTCCACCTGGCCCGGCCGGGCGGGTGCGGCTCAGGCGCTCAGCGCTCGGAGAGCGCACCTGGGGAGCGCAGACACGCCCAGGCAGGCGCCGGCAGGTGAAAGCCCGGTTTGGGGTTAGGGTTATAAGGTTAGGGCTCGCCCCAACCTTCCGGTGCTCTGAGCAGCTTACCAACAGCGGCGACCAGCAGACCGACAGCACGCACATGATCCCCATGAGCTGGATGGCCGTCTCGGTGGTGATCCGGCCCCACTGGGCGCTGGACTGCGACACGGCCGCTTTGGCTCGGCAGCGGGACACCAGGGCCTCGATGGTCGCCAGGTTGCAGGCGAAGGTGACCGCCAGCGCCAGGAGCCCCAGGAAGGCGAAGGTGGCCGCGAAGCCCAGGCCGCCCCGGTCGCGGACAGGGGCCGTCTCGTTGCCCCCCGCGCCGATGCTGATGAAGCACCAGGTGCCGGGCCACTGCACGCTGTACCTGCCGACGCCCAGCACCGGCAGCAGCGCGAAGGCGAGCGCCGCCAGCCACACGCCCAGCAGCACGGCGCGGGTGGCGCGCGTCTTCATGTGGCTGGCGTACCAGTGCGGCGCCCGGATGGCCAGCGCGCGCTCCACGGCCATGGCGCTGGCCACGAAGAGCGACGACAGCCCGGACACCGTCATGGTCAGCCCGAAGAAGGCGCACAGCCGGCCCGACGGGTCGAGCTGCTCCCAGCGTCGCTTGGACAGGTAGACGACGATGACCGCCGGGCTGGTCAGCAGCTGCCCCGCCAGGTCGGTGAGCGCCAGCCAGCCGATGCACAGCAGGAACGACTTCTTGCGCTTGCTCTCCCGGCGCCGGTAGCTGCGCGACACGAGCAGCATGGCCAGCGCGTTGCCCACGAAGCCGGTGAGCATCATGGTGATGGGGAAGGCCACCGACACCGAGCCGCAGTCCTGGGCGCTGGCGGCCCGGCTCAGATTGCCGCGCGCCTCGGCCGGCTCCGGCGCCCACATGCCGGGGTAGGAGTGGTTGAGGCGCGGGCAGAAGGGCGCGTCGGCCCGGCCCGGCTTCATGCCGGCGCGGAGGACCGCGGGGAGGACCGCGCGGCGCGGGTCGGGACCGCGCGCTCCATCGCCC